TGGCCCATGATTGTTCGAAAAATCGCATTTTTAGCTTGCAGATTCTCTAGAGGTCACAATTTTTTTTCCGATTTTAAAAACCGTTTAAATACATCACCATTCCACCATTTTGAAGGTTGAATTCGTATTTCGGGAAAATCGAAATGAATTTGCCCGACAAAATGGCCGCTCTTTGTACGCAAATTGTGTAGAAGTGTGTAATACGAAGGTTGTGGACCCTTTAGAGGTCACAATTTTTTTCCGATTTTGATGAAACTTAAAACATATCTTTATATCCCAAAGATCTCTGACCCTTTTGATATTTGCACATGTCAGGCCATAACTTTATGGATTATTGCCCCTGATTGTACAAAAAATCATATTTGTTTTTAGCTGTTCTCTATCCATCTCTTGCAAAATGTGGGCGTATCCTCTCTGGCAGCCGCTGGTTGGAATGTGAAAATGGATTGGAATTTGGGTTAACGTCCTACTTTTATGCACTAACTGGGCTAATGAAGATTTGCATATGCATTTGATATAATGACAATTTTGCCTGGACAGCGGTACTACAGCGTACACTTTTTTTCAGTTCCAACGGGCAATAGTTATTTGACCCGGCAAGAGTTAGCCTGCAGTTTAAGGACGTTAAACCCCGATTCATTTTATTTTATTTCTTTTTATGTTTGACATAATATTGCGGTGAGCGAATATTTAAAAACTTGAACTGTATTGCATGGCAATAACATGACGGTAAGTACTTCAGTAAATTAAATGAACTTAATGGGATGAAGATTGGCCTAAATATGTAGAGATCTTGTAATTTATATATTTATCAAAGTCCAACCAAATAATCAACATTAGCCATTGTCTCATTTTGTTGGCATGTTGATGACCTAGAATCTAGACATATATATATAAAAATAAGGCCACAAGCATTGACCCCTATTTAACCCGTTTCTTACCTTGTCATGTGCTTTTCGGTCACTCTTAAAGTAATAAAGACAACCATGGATACCTTTCATTAAGTTTATTAATTGCCTCGTTTCAATGACGGTAACATAACATATTACATTTGATATAGCGCACATTATACTGCCACGCATTCAATGGCGCTTCACAAAGTCTTACACAAACGTTAAAGGGCCAATGATCCCGATAATATTTTGGAGAATAAAAATGTTTCATTTTGTGTTAAAATCCCTTAAAATCCTCTACCTAAGAGCCGAGCAACTAACTCCATATTTTTCATACGTTTTCAAACAACTTAAACCCGCCAGTCTTCATCTGGAAATGGAAACCAGTGTCCAAACTGTATTATATGGTGTCTGGATAAAACCAGACTTTTATTTTATAAAATAAATGTGTAGGTGAAATTTACCCTTCGTTATGAAGTACAGCACACGGGTCATTCACTGTATAGACCTCTAAAGAAACGGGAATCGATTATCAGGTCGCTCAACGAAAAAATTGACCCGAAATCTTAAAAGGGTTACGTGTCCGGATAAGCATTTTTGACTTTCACGTCCAAACGACTCAATATTTTGAGCTGAAATTTTGAGACAAGGTAAATACAACATTTCTCTATATTTAGGTGCTTAAATTTCATATGTACTCGGACTTTTTTATGGAAAAACTATGATTTGAGTTTCTTTTTAAAATCCGGTACAGTTTGAGATTGTTTTACCCTTTCTTGAAGCGTAGTCCAGAGCAGCGGTCCTACTCTCGCCGTTATCATAAAGTAACGATACGTGATTTGCATTTTCTCTGAAAATCGCTTAATCCATACAAATAATAATATGTATTAAGGTTGATTATTTAACTTTTAATTAGGAAAATAAAATATAAATATCAACGCTAGATAATCTCATAGCTTGGATTCAGTCTGATTAAATAGGCCCATCAATTCGCTAATAATATCATGACGTCAAGACTTGTTTACTGGTGATTACCCTTATAGCTTAGATGGCAAAATGGCGGAAAATGAATAAAATGGAATGGGGTTTAACGTTCTACGGTTTTGCTCCGACTGGGCTAATGAAGACGAATATACGCCATACATTATGCTATGAAGGAAATTTTACCCGGACAGTGGCACTACGGCTAAGGTTTTTATTTTATCTTTTAAGTGCACGCTAATGTGTACACGGGACCCTGGTTTATCGACCTACCCTGTACCCCGACGACTACACGCTGACCTTTGCCAGGCCCTCCGTCATGCACCACGCCGGACCTCCAGATTAGCGAGCGAACGTGTCACTGACCTACCATGCCCCCCCCCCCACACACACACACACACACACCAACACACACACAAAATGGAGGAAATGGCTTCCTATATCGTTTAGGTCACGCTCGGGGACTTTAAAATTTGAACTAAGCCATAAACACAGTTCTGAATAAAAATGACATTTTTGAAAATAAACACTTTGTTGACGTATGTTTATGACAGAATATAGAAGGAAAAATCGGAGTACAGTTAAAAGTTATTGCTGTCAATGTAAACGTATATATTAAAACTGAAACGTATTTATGGTTTCCTGTAATTTAAGTTTCAATGGTTCGCTACAGGTTTAAAACAATAAAAAGATGACAAAAGTATTTCCGTGATAAATCATAAATGATATTGTAACTATGTTTGTGTAAAATGACAATAAGCGTACTTCATTTTACAATGTGAATTACTTGTTAAATTAACTACAGGGTGTTACAATTTAATGTCCTTAACAAACGACACGGTGAACAACAGACTTCTTCGGTCGTTAAATATAACTATGTCGTGAAATGATTGTAACAATTTGAACAAACCGGCCTAAATGTTATCCTTTAAAACAGAAAATGTATTCGATGTAACAACCTCTCTGTTTCGAAATGAGAAATGGAATGTGGTTTAACCAAGACGCGTTAATGACGTAATTTTGGTGAAGTCATCGACGCCATGGTTAAACCAAAACAGGGCTAGATCTATTTCTTAAGGCCAACTCGATTTTTCGTCAAGGTTGCTGAGATGTAAATAAGATTAAGGCATGTGATTGTTGGCGATATTCTAGGTACAGGGTTAGGGTTGGGAGTAGAGCTAGCTCTGTTAACATCTCGTGACCTTTGACCAAACTTGAAGCTGGCCTTACTAAATAGGTCTAACCCATAAAACAAGTCTCTTTAAGTATTTTGACACTATGCCGGGCTGTTCCGGGTAGACGCATACTGTGAAAAAAAAATATTTCTTGTGAAAAACATCAGATAAGAATATGAGGTCACCGTTTGACATGACTTGTGAAATATGTCTAGCCTTGTTCTTCGAGTCCCTTGCTACAATTCGCGCTGAAACGCATTATGGTACTCGATTCGTGTACCAATGGTAAACTGATAATTTTGTTTTAAATATTGGATATCAGAAGCCCATGTTTTCTCGGTAAGATCTAAACATCAATGTTGATTTAAATTGACAAATAATTATTGTTTTCAATGTCGAAGATTGTGGATGATATTGAGTTAAAGACTTAGCTACTATAATTTTTATAAGGAATTTGAGATAATAGCACCTATTTTCCCATATTCAGTTCAATCCTTTCCTATGAAACTGTAAAAAAATGAGTTGTTAAAATTAGTTAAGGTAAACAAACAAAGTGCCACACAAACAATTAGAATACATCGTGTGTAACCATAATTTTGACCTAATGCCTTCCCATAATTACTTGATATGTAAACCATCGTCCGGTCTTAAAACAATTAACAAACCACCTATAAAAGATGACAGGCACAGTTTCCCTATTTTTTAACCTCACCGTAGATAATTATTACGCACGTTTTCCATTCGTTACCTATTTAAAACCGTGGGAATATGTTTTATTTTAACCCGAATTAAGGCGTTATTGCCTCAAATTCTTTAAAGTAGCACCAAACATACAGGTTTACATATTTTATCAAATTAAAAGGCGAAACCTAAAACAAACGAAAATGGGTCTAAAATACGTGAACAGTCCAAATTGAGCGACAGTCAGTCACACCTGCTTAGTCCTTTTACACGTTTATATTTTTATGTCGTTTTAATTACTTTTGCATTGTCTTGTAGGATATGATTTTTCTTTATTCATTACAAATGGTGTCTGAAACCATAGAATACACGACACGTGTACTGATTTTAAAATGTTCATTATGTCTTAAATAATATTGTAGACAATAGCAACTAATAAAAAAGAATGATTAGACACTAAAACCTACAAAGATAAAAAAGATAAAATATTATGTAAATATAGGATAAAACCCGATACATGTATATAAATATTAATATATTAGTCCGCCAATTAGCTCCTCTTGGAAACAGATACGAAATTTGTTGACCGACATTTACGATTTGAGCCGAAGCACGAATAATTATTTATTCCGCTTCCATGAAAATGTTTATTTAGTCTTTTTGTGTGTATGAAAGATTTAAAACTGATTAGAACCGCATAACAAATCGTACACTCATTTTCAGGGTTTTTTTTTATCTAAACCAAAATGGGCGGATGGAAGATAAAAATAGAGAAGGAACTACAACGGAGCTACAACTATAGACGGATGTAAAAACACGAATTCTTTGATCTTAAAATGTTTTCAGGTGTTCTAGGAACAGGTTTAACATCATCGCCGCCATCTTGGAATTACAAGTTAATCAGTCGATGCGCAATTGTCCAAGAAACAATCATGTCACGTTTCGTGTCTAGCGTAACCTACTTGAATTGGCGGGTCTTGAGGCTTTGTGCGAAGCGTGGCGCCCCCAATACGAAGAACGACAAGATGGGTAGCGCTTGAATGTTAAATTTCCTACTTCCTTTTCAGTGTGTAGAAAGTTTATAACCTAATTTCTATGAAGATTACGTGTAAAATTAAAACAGTGTAAGGCTCCTGAAATAGACCGTTCTTCTGATAAAACAATGGCCTATTAATTAAATTTAAAGAAGGCTATATGCAAAAGCATATACTATGAAAACTATACAATATCATATACAAAAAAACAAAACAACACAAAACAATTTTATATTTATATGGAAAATAATCACTGGTTTATACACATATTACACGACGTTTCGGCAAGCATTCTCTTGTCGTTTTCAAGTACAAATTTGTTATATGTGTACAAACCAGTGATTGTTTCCATAATTTGTGTGTTGTGTTTTTGTTTATCGCCAAATGCCACTCAAAGATCGTATAACATATTCGTGTTCTAAAATGGTCCATTAATAACTGGAAACGGATACGGCACTTATAGTTTATAACCTGGAAACGGATTCGGCTAACCTGGAAACTGAAGATCAAAAGGTGAAGGTACAATATTTATACCGATATATATATACTGATCAGCACTATTTCTTAATCACTAAAAAGTTGAATAACATGATATGCGGTAACATTAAACGTCGGCAGTGACAGCGTTATCAGCTGACTTACATTATTAATATAAGTATCTAATGTGTGAAAGGCTTATGCATTTAAATAACGCCCATTCAACAAATACTCTATTTAAACTTTTTCTATTGTACACTTCCCTAAAAGAAAAGGTGGTTATTGGATTAGATGTACATCAAGACTGAGACTGAGTCAACAAGAAATTAAGAAACATGGAGAATTCCGGTAAACAAATAATTTCTTTTTTTCATAACAGATACTTTATTAAGACAGATATGTCCATTGTAGATAATTAATAAATAAATTAAAGCCACTAATTGTCAAATGCATTTTTCTGACGATATCCAATTTTTCATTGTTTCAACGACATTTAGTAACTGGATGAGAATAACACACGAAACAATTATATGGAATACAAGTTACTTGAATGATTTATTTCTTCTTTACTTGATAAAGACGAGAGAATCCTCGTTGAAACCTCGCTAGAAATAAATCTTTCAAGTAACTTGTATTCCATATAATTGTGTCATGTGTTATCTAATTTTTCACGCTAAAATTATAAAAAAAATTAAACATACATTATGCAAGAGCCAAATCTACCTATTGCAGGTCTTTCTTTAGACCAGAAATGTTATCTAAATTATTAATTAGACATTAATTAATCTATCAAGTCCATAATCAACTCTTGGTGTCATCGCTATATATATAGTCTGCGATATTTATTAAATTAGGTTCCGATTTGCTGTTCGACTTCCATTCATGATTTAATCATGAAATGGATAATCGAGACTATGTTTTTTTATCATACCGACTTTAGTAGTGATGATCGAGGCTAGGCCGAAAATTCAAGCCTAAAATCTCGGTTCAGAATGGATTAATTTGACTGAAATTGTCAGCACATTCCCTTTACATTATCTAGTGTTTAACTATAGCGAGAACTGCCAGCTCTTTATCTAAACTCCCATAACGTATCTTTAAGCAAAGGACAAATAAAAGCACAACAGAAATTGTCTGATATATTACAGAGATTCACTGCGCGTGACAATATCTAATATTTCACCATTTGATCCACACTAAAATGAAGGCTACTCAAATCAGTTATTTAACATTTTATTTAGAAAACAAAATCAATTCAACTGTGGATAATCTTCCGGCTTGGATTCAATCGAATTAAAAATAGACCTATCAATAGATTTTAGCAAATATTATATGTTGCGCTATGCTTGTTTTGACTGTATACTATTTATATTGCCAATTCGTTATATCTTCATAAATACCAAACATAACTGAACCCTTCATAGACTCATATCCCTATTGAGTTTCTATAATATTGTAGTTTGAAAAGGAATAATAGTTCCCCAAATGACGGTTATAGCCAAGTCCTGTCTATTTCCAACATTACAATTTTAAGAAGAAGAATGTCAAATAATATGAGGAAATAGAAAATGTATCTATTTTAACTAGGATGTAGATTTTAGAATATTTTAAGATTTATTTGTTGTCGTCAATAGAGAGGTATATGGAAATTAAAAAGGGTTAAAGCGAGAAACACATATTTCACAACACAGTGTCCCTTGAAATCTAGTATGTTCTGCCACAGCCGGGATAGTGGAGACGGACGTAGGCCATGCAGTCATACGAAACTTACGCTGTCTGCTTAGTTATGATTCATAACAATTCAGAAGAGCCACGGTGGCAAAGTGGGTGAAACGCTGATCGATCCCGGTGTTGGCCGCAAAAGTTCATCGGGATTTTCCGGCCTGGTTTCCCCTTGTCAGTGGCGCAGGACGGAGGGCCTGACAAGGACAGATGTCTAGTCGTTCGGATGGGATGAAAAACCGAGGTCACGTGTACGCATTGGCGTGCACGTAAAAGATCGCTTGGCAGTTGGAATTCGATATAAGAGTAGGCCATAGTGCCGCTGCCCGGGCAAAATTTCCCTGTATGGCGTCTTCATTAGCCCAGTTGGAGCAGAACAGTAGGACGTTAAACTTCATTTAATTTCATAACAATTCATTCCAGCTAGGGCAAATTAAAAGACTATAATATATATTACCGGATGCTGCCTTTCATAGTCCTTTATTCCTACACCGTGTGCGTTTAAAGATGCATTGGCACTTGACAATCGCGACTATCTTGTCAAATAAACTTCAACTGTCATAACTTCGCTCAGAATAAAGTAATGTGACTGACATTTTCAATATTTTCATTTCCCATTGTCTATTTTTGAACTATTATAGCAAGAATGGCCAGCTTTAAATCTTACATAATGCACCTTTAAACACCGACGCGGAACAACATTATTGATATAGTCTACAATATTTCAAAACCTGTAGACATTAAAGAAGGAAAACATTAATAACACCAGAACTTAAGGTCCGTGAATACTAAGCGCGAACGGGAACGTGACGATCGCATTTAATTAATTAGCTACTATTTGAATGAAATCGTTTATACTAACGGCGAACGTGAACCGCAGGGATTGTCTCCAGAGAGAGTTTTACAGAACAGTTCGCGTCTTGATGACAAATTATCTTCGTTGAAGTATTAGAAAATTAACCTATTTTGTGTTCCACTGTCGTATGGGCGCCCCATGAGTGTTTTTCGGGGAATCCAATACTTTTCTAGTATGATTGTGTTTCCCTACTTTCCATATACACCAATTTTGCCATCCTTTTTATTGGAAATAATTACCCTATAAATACTTTCATGGGAATGCATCTTTAAATTTCAAATAGGACAGGTAAATAAGCCAAATATAGATGTAATCATATAGCTCTTGCCTCATCACTAATTAAAATAATACAGTAGATAACCCAATTCATTTTATCCCATTTTTTTATGTTTATACCAATTCAATAGTCTACTTTATTTTATCCAAAATCAATTAGGTTTACCTCCTTTAAATTTAGAGCCATTATGATATTTATGCATATTTTATTTTATATTTTAGTATTTTCCGATATGAAGAAGGACAAGTACTTAACCAAGAAAGACAGATCTACACCATTGGATCAGGCCATGCTCTTTGCTACATTCGATCTCCACCGAGCTGTAGAAAATAAACCTTTTGTGCAGACCATGATCATGAAAACCATAACCCGCCCAGCCTACGCCACTTACCTTTCACAGCTGTATTTTATATACAAGGCTATGGAAGAGGTGGGTGAACATTGCCAAAATGATCCATTCGTTAAGCCCCTGTATTTTCCCACCGAGCTAAACCGAGAAAAGGCTTTGATCGAAGATCTTGTTTACTTCTATGGAGATAAATGGGAGTCCAAAATAAAATGCACACCGGCTACGACGAGATACATTGAAAGGATCGCCTACCTGGGTGAGAGCAATCCCGCTATGCTAATACCTCATAACTTTGTGCGATATTTCGGTGATCTATCTGGGGGTCAGGTGTTGAAATACAAAATGAGAAAAAGTCTTAAGCTTAACGACGAAGACAAGGGTGTCCAGTTCTATATATTTGAGAATGTCGTGGATGGTAACAAATTCATGCAGTTCTACACGAGCCGACTGAACGCCTTGGAACTGTCTAACGCCATGTATGATGAAATGTTGGAAGAAGCCAGAAATGCATTTCAGCTGAACATGGATTTATTTGAAGATTTGGAGAAACTTTATCCTTGTATTAAAAACAAACAACTTGATCAAGTGAAGAAGCTGATCACAACTATTCGACATTCACAAAAAACTTGGACAATTTCTGCCATTTTATTTACTTTGGCATTGATTACGAAAGTCTTTCACGATGTTTCGTTATAAGTATTAATGTTAGCAATTTGCTTTAAAATATAAATTAGTATTTGACAATTTGATTTTAAAACTCTCCCATTGGCTCCTTTGGCGTTCGTCACTTCAAGAAACCTGTATTACTCAGCTATCGTAGCAATGATCTCTTTGTTAAAATTATATTTGGAATGTGCTCTATCACATATGTGATAATGACTGGTACCAATATTGTCCTTTGAGGCATGGCATGTTGGTTTACAGATTTAGAAGTTAATTGTGTGGTTATGTATAGTAAAGTGTTCTGAACTTTAGTAAATTAGTGTTGAAGCTTTGAAAAGGTTTAATAAAAGTTTTGAAACATCTTGTGTGGTTATGTATAGTAAAGTGTTCTGAACTTTAGTAAATTAGTGTTAGCTTTGAAAAGGTTTCATAAAAGTTTTGAAACATCTTCACATTCTGCTTACCTTCGACAACAAAATTATAGTGATTAACGAAATGACTATTTCACTATAGCTTAACTTGTGTCCATGGCATTCAGTATTTGAACTGGAAATACACAGAATACAATTCTATGGAAATGAATATAATTACTGTTTGTAAAGCGGTGGACACACTAGCCGAATGATTCGACCCAATCAATCGGCGTCGAAATTCGCCTAGTGTGTCCATTGTCATACGGCTGACTGATTCTCCCGAATCAAACATGTTTGATATATGCGACCGAATAATATTCGCCTAGTGTGTCCATTTCGCCGAAAAATTCGCCCGATCGTAGAATTTATTAGCCAATCAGCACTCATATCGAGAAGTCACGTGATTGTTTAAAGACACGGTCGCTGCCATGTTTAATTGACGTGCAAGGTGATGTGTGAGAGAGAAATGGGGTTTAACGTCCACTCGACACAAACTAGGTCATTTCGGGACCAACATATGGTTTAATTTTATTTCAATAATTCGCTTGCGCGTAGGGGTCTTTAGCAGTGGGAGGAAACCGGAGGACCCGGAGAAAACCCTCTAGTCTGGGTCGAGCGGATGTTAGTCCCCATCTCTCTCTCTCTCTCTCTCTCTCTCTCTCTCTCTCAAGCAATGTCCAGTAATAATCAGTAATTGTATTCTTTAGAAATGTGTCCTTGACACTAGCTTGTGTATACCAAACATCTACATTATCAGTCTAAACTGTGTAGTTTATCTTATTGACATCAACTCTTTTGATATTACATATCGTCGGTCAAAAGGTCGTATCTGGATTTTGCGAAATTGTCCAGGAGAGCCAAAATTAGCACAGAGGTTAAGAATCAAAATGTCTTATAAAACCGTCGGATGTAAAATGTCGTATTTCTGAAGCTTTTCTCAAATATTTCTGTACAAAATGTATGGGTAGCTATTAAAAGAGTATGTAACTATCCGCACATATCAAGCTCAACATCTAGTGCAGAAATAAGGAGTGATTTTATACAGCAAAGACTATCTCAGGAAAATATTCAGCTTTACCTGCTTCAATTTCACAGATTTCACACAGTATAGAGACTCAACAATAATTTCAATAATACGTATTTAACCATAAAACAATATTGGCTATATTTCGTTCTATATTTCGTTTGATTTTAATGCATTGGTTAGACACAAGGTTGATTTTTTTCAAGAAAATGCATTTTCGCTCTTTATATATATACAGTTTGAAACAATGCCTGTAAAACCTTTTTATTGGCTTAGAAATACGACAACCAGATGAAAAGATGCGCAAAAAGTGGATTTCGTAAAATATGCCAAAGGGGTAATTTATATTTACAATTGACAATAATCGTTGCAGGTGCTCATTCAAGGGGAGTACTGATTTATAAAAGAGATATATTTGGCTGTGATCTAATTCATTAGATCTCTATTTTGCTACACTTGGATCGAAAACGCGACCCCCAGGCTAGCGAGCCAGCGTCTTACCCACTTAGCCACCGTGGCTCCCTAAATCAAAGAGAACAGACAACTGGTAATGAAGTACTTTGATAGTACCAATAATATATGGGAGCCGCGGTAACTTAGTGAGTAAGACGTTGGCTCGCTGTCATGGAGGTCCTTAGTTCTACCCCTTTTTTGACCGAGGAAGTTCATCGGTAATTTCCGGCGTGTTTCGCCCTTATCAAGGTGCAGGACGGAGGGCCTGGCAAGAGACAACGTATAGTCGTTCGGATGAGACTAAAAACCGAGATCTCGTGTACACATTGGCGTGCATGTAAAGGCACCCTTAGTAGTTAGAAGTCGATAAGAGTAGGCCGTGGCGCCGTTGTCCAGGCAAAATTTTCTTTATAGCACAGTATATGGCATATGCCCGTCTGCATTAGCCCATTTGGAGCTGGACAGTAGGGCGTTAAACCCATTTCATTTCGTTTCATTTCATTTCTCTTTGATTTAAGCCACTTTGATTGGTTATAACAATTATTGCCAAAGGAAAAGCACCTTTTCATTGGCTACCGAAGGCGTCAATTACTATTAGCCATGTCAGTTTAACAAAAACGTCTAAAAGATTTTGTTAGACGTTACCTGTGTAAACATGTAAACAACATAGAAACGAAAAAAGGGGAATATGGCTGGCAAAGGCGTCCCAGTGATTGGGATGGTATCTTTAAACAGCTGGGGCATTCCCACCCCCTTCGTTAAGTACTTCCGGTATTTAGTACTACGGTATCGTTGTGTTAATTCTTTTTTTTTGTCGATAATTTAGGTACAAATTGATAAACATACCCCATAAAAAAATATATTCATATACAACTAATGGCAATACAAGGGGCGGTAAATCTTTGTATTCCTCTTGATGCTGAAAGAGTTAACTTCCCTTACTATTTCCGATCTTTTCATGTCTAACAAATCGAAATCGCACAAAAAGTCAGTACAGTCACTATAATATCGTCCCATCAGACCCTTTAAAACGTATGGTACATCGACCATCTCCCTCAGTACACGCCTCGAGTCCTCGTCATCACTGTTATCCTCACTAGTATAATCTGAATCGGCGCCTTCTTCCTGTGACGATATTTTAAAATGTTCACAAACCCCTTCTGTATTTTTATTCAACGATTCAATAACAGTTGCGTCACCATGTAGACTCTCACAAGCACTGACATAAGAACCGCTGGATAGGACTGAAGGCAAAGATAATGAACGCATCGGTAGACACAGGCTTACGGAATGGCAACTGTCGGAAAACAAACTGGTCTTTGAAGCTACAGGGCTGTTAATCTCATTTTGATCACAATCCTCGATTCTAACTTCCGGTAATGGATTCCTTCTCGTCTTCTGGAAATAGAGGGATAAAAAGGTAAAACCTGACTTTTTATTTATGTAAATTATTTGACCCAATTAATGAGAATTTGTAAAAACATACTCTTCTTCTAACGCTCGCTGACTGTTATTAAAAAATTTAGTTACCCCGTGTTTGTTAAGGTGGTTCAGAAACAGTGTTAAGTCCTTCGGATGGGACGAAAACGAGAACACGTAAAACAACCCTTAACAGTTAAGGAATTCGACGAAGAGTATGCCGAAGCTCCTCTATTCGTGCACATTTTTCCACATAGTCATAGCACACTGCATAGCGCATACTTTGTCTTCCCCAGCTGGGTTGTTGCAAAACAGTACGACGTTAAACCCTATTTCATTTCGTGTGTGTTAGGCCTGCGTTATTTTGGACCCTTCAACAACATAGTTGACATTTACTTCATATAAATTCCTCTGTTTAATTAAGAAGTTCTCTACAGTCGAATTTAGTTGTCTGGTAATCTAAAAAGATTTATGGCGGCAATCGAATATACACAAGCAAAGGCATATTAATTTATCAATTCAACCGAAAAACAAATTAAGATGATCTTGCAAGTTATCTCCCTTTAAATGTTCAACACAGAAACTTGTGTTACGGGCGACGCGTATCGATAAAAATGAGTGAGAAAAATGGGGTTTAACGTCCACTCGACACAAACTAGCTCAATTCGGGACTAACACGTGGTTCAATTTAGTTCAATAATTCGCTTGCGCGTAGGGGTCTTCTTTAGCAGTGGGAGAAATCCGGAGGACCCTGAGAAAACCCACGAGGTGGACAGACGACTCTATTCCTTGTCAGGTACAACCGGGGAATCGAAACCACGCCAGTTGACTCCATGACAGACCTTATGATAAAGCGCGCATCTGCTAACCATTTTTCTTTTTTCAAAATGATTATTCATGAAATATAATACATTGCATTTATATACATATTCATTCTAGGCTATGCATGGTACAATGAGTAAGCTAAAAGCAGTTTTATGTACATAATTTGAACAAAAATAAAATTTAAAATAAAAATTATTTTTTTATTTTTTTATTTTTTTATAATAAAGTACCATTTCTTTGGAATTCAGACTTGTAGTAAGATTTCTATCAACAAAGTTATAAGAAGAAATATTTAAAATTATTTGCAAATCGACTATGAGCGTTCGGAGGAAGCCTGCTAACCATTCGGCCATTCAACCCGACGTGTTGCCAAAAGAATGTCTACAGTTTTTGTT